AGCCCTCACTTTCCAAATTTTTGCCGTGTCCTGACCCCCTTTTTATTTTCTTAGTAACAGCTTCCACTCTCCGGTGCGTCCTTGCTTGTGTCCTTATTTGTGTCCACTTCCCTCCCCTTGGAGTGCAACACCAGCTCCTAGAGGGCAGGGACCACCTGCTCGGTTCCCACCACATCCTCAGGATCCTCAGTGTGTGGAACACAAAGTTCCCCGCTGTACATTTGCTGATGAATGAGCTCTTCCGAGACTGAACTCCTTGGAAGCAAGGGAAGTAGCTCAGGGTGGAATGGAAATTTTAGAATGCATTTGATATTTGTACATGTCCTGATTAATAATTCACTTTATGCAGTGCTAGTCTGTACAGATAAATTCTGACTTCATGATGAGGTTAAATGGGATATAATTTCCTCAAATTGTAATCAAGCTTGATCATCTTCATGAAAGATTTTGAAGTCTGAGTTCAATGCCTGCCTATGTTATATGAGCCTAAAATAATAATTTTAGTTTAGTCTGAATTTTTAAAAGAGGTTATTGGTCTAACTTCCAATTACATTGTGCTCTATGGCTCAATAAAACATTTCCATTTGTATTAACTAATTTGACCTTTCCAGCAACTCTGTACAAGAGAGAAGGTAGCTGTAATGTATTACTTTACAGATTGACTCGAACTGTGTTGAAGCTTGATGAGAACAAATGAATAATAATCATAGAAATTTAGAGCTAGGAGTAACAGTTGAGATTACTTCTTCCAATAATTTCTCATTTTTAGATGAGGACACAGAGAAATCTGGAGCCTGTGCTGTGGCAAGAATTTTGATAGAACTTCATTCTTAAGTCAGCGAACTTTATCCATCACCACTGGTTGAGAGCTAGCCAACATTTGCCCACGAAGAGGGCAATTTTAAAAACAGTATTTACACTTTACTTCTAAAATTTTGCTTTTTGATGTGAATTATATCCTTTAAGTTTATTAAATGAATGACTAAATAACTGAAGATTTAAAAAGGAAGAAAAGAAGAAAGTAGATCTAGTGAAGTTAATTACTATTATTGTTGCCGAACCAGGCTCATTCTGCCCAACACTCAGTGAGCCAAAACGCTGAGCCTCCAAGACTTACAGCAAAGAGAGGGCTTCTTCACAAGGCAGCCAAGCAAGGAGGCCAGAGAGCAAGTTTCAGATCAGCCTCCCCAAAGACAAAGGGCTTGGGGTATTTTAAGGATAAAGAATAAAGAAGCAGGGTGGTCTGAGGAGTGCAGAGCATGAGGAAAGGTGCTTGGGAAAAGGTATGGTAATCGTTGTTCAGCGAAGGCCTCTGCACGTTAAAAAATGAGGGTGTTCAGCACGATCTGAGGGTGGAGTTTTGGCCCTCTGACGTCAAAGGCCACCGTGGACACTCACGCATGCCAGTTGGAGGGTCAGGGGTCCTATCCAGTCTTAACCAGCTCAGCTCCAACTAGACACAGCTGACTCCAAGTTCCTGGAAAGCAACTCAGGCGAGTATCTCATTGCTCAGACTACATACATGCTGCTTGGAGGACGTGCAAGTCTTAAAATGACCTTGATTAGTGAAGACAGGTGAAATGGATTGACTAATGATTACCCATGGTTTCATTATAATCTACATAAATCATTTATTTGAATCTTTATGCTTTTGTCTTTTACTTTACGTCTCTTGATTTTTTTTTTTAAGTGGGAAGGGGAGAGACATCTATCAGAGTAACACTCCCTCCCAAACAGGAATGGAATGGGTCATCTGACTCACAGGAGAATCCGTTTGTTCTGAGATCTCAAGTTGTAGAGAACGCACTAGGGCTTTGCTGTCTTTCCTCCCCTTTCCAACCTTGCTGGTGAGAGACAGCAAGTCCCAGCTTGTCCACAGGACATGTGCAGGGCTGCCGGGTGGCACAACAACCATCAACATTGTATCCCGGAGTTGGGCTCCACAGAGGAAACGGCACAAATGGCACAGGCTTCCCGGCCAGCTCTCTGCCAAGTAGGTATCCCAAAGGGCAGGCTGGGCAAGTCTGTTAAGGGGTAACCTATCAGCAAGTCCATTGTGGCCACACATCTAAGATGCTCTGTCCAACCCTGAACTTAGCAATGACAAACCGGACATTTGAAATCCATCTGTTTGACTCCTGTATTTCTCAGTTAATACCACATGCATCTTCTTGTTGTCCTTCTTAATTAAGATGACCTTGTTTGTCTCCTTAGTTACCAACCGACGATCTGTATTTTCCAACCCACTTAAATCTTGAACATAATGATATCATAATTGTGAAAGTAAGCAGATTCACATGAAGTATTGCCTAATCAAGAACAAAATGGCAGCTGTGAAAACAGATGAAATAATTAGAGGAAGAAACTTTTTGGAAGCCTCAGGATATTTTAAAAGTCATTAGTAATAGTTAGCAATAAAATTATTTTCTCGGAAATTACACTTAAAGGGGAAACAGGAAATACAGGAAAAAATCTGCCACTAGAGGATGAGGCACTGGTCTTCCTAAACGTTGGTTCCATTTTCAGCAAAATGTGAATTTGTTGAAAAGCGCATGCTCGCAGACTTAGTAAACAGTTTTATGGTTACCGGGGAAAGGGGGTGGGAGGGGATAAATTTGGGAATTTGAGATTTACAAATGTTAGCCACTATACATAAAAATAGATTTTTAAAAAAGTTTCTTTTGTATAGCACAGGGAACTGTGTTCAATATCTTGCAATAACCTTTCATGGAAAAAAATATGAAAACGAATATATGTATGTATATGCATGACTGGGACATTGTGCTGAACACCAGAGATTGACACATTGTAACTGACTTTACTTCAGTTTAAAAAAAAGACAAAAAACGTATGCAGATGCCAGCCGTGACTTCAAATGGGTCCAGATTTGGACAAGACCAAACTAATGAACAAAGGTTCTCACCATCGAGTTTGTGTTTATCACAATCTCCCGAGACTGACTTCCCCAGGACTATGCTCTCCTCCTCCTGAGGCAAATGCCCAGACGGCTGCTTCTTTCTTTGGCCAACCGGTCGCCTCTCAGGATAGGACCCGTCTGTCTGTAGGTGTGGATTGTGGTTGCTCAGAAGTGACATGAGGCTATATAAAATAATGATAGTTTAGGTTTTGCTTTGAGCCGCTCTGTTTTCCAATAGAGCTAAGAGGTTTCCAGCGAAAACAGAGAATTAGCCAGTAGTCGAGACAGCGGATATGGGTGTGGGCAGGACTTCCAGGGGGGTCCTGTCATTGCCCATCTAGGTGCCCAAGTGGAGCAGAGAGAAACTCCAGACTGCAGGTTCTTCAAACACAAGGATCAACTGGTAAGGGCCTCCGAAAAGCAGGTGGACCAGGTCAGAACAGCCAGCGTGACTTGCTCTGAAAGTGCTGAACACACAAGTAGTGGTCAGCTAATCCCTCAAAACGTGCAAAGGGGGCCCAAGACAGTCTAGAGGTTTCAGTAGCCAGAGAGACCCAGACCAGCCCTGGCTGCGGTGACTCTCTACATTGTTTTTTTGTTTGTTTTTTTTTTGTTTTTTCTCTCTAAATTGTTTTTAAATGAATCTCCTGCTGAATTTTCCATTCAGCTAATCAACTCTCAAATTGTAGCGACACACTCAGCTATGACATTGTTTAGATGCTAAATTTTATCACTTTATCTAGTTAAAGTGTGTCTTTATATATTTAAAAATTGCCAAATGACCTGTCAATCATCTTCAGAATGTTTTATCTAGGAGTTGACTTACTCTATTTCATATTGTTGTTTATATTTCCAATCAAAGAAATTTCTCTGGCCTGTAAAAGAATATACACATCATAAATTTCAAATTTTTCAGAAATGTATTTTTAAGGCTTTAATGAGTCCTATCAAAACATATTTGTGTAAGATACAGTAACTCAAGGTCATTGTTTCTGATCGTGTGACAGCCCGCCCTCTAGTGTTTCGTTCTAAACTCTTCTGCACTTTAAACCATACTCTTAATCTCAAAATGTTAGGTTAATAGGATTAAGAACTGTGTCATCAAATTTATAGAACAAGGCTAAATCCCTGACACGGAGGAAAATTAAAGCAGAGAAAAGTGAAGGTCCTTCCAGAAGCTGGTGGAAACCTCACTGAGGAAATCCTGCAAAGTTAGTGGTAAATATATTAAAGTTTTATTTGGGAAATAGTGTCTTAATAGAAAGAGAAGAGTTAGTTCCAATGACAGATGTAGAAGTAAAGCATGGCAGCTTTGTAACCAGTAATATATTTAAAAGATATTCCAAATGTTGATTAAATAAAGGTGGGGTTTTTTTTTTTTCCGAAATAACAAGTACACATAAAGCAGGTAAATAACCCCTTTGGGAGGAGTTTTAAGATAATCTAACTTATTTTTTAGATATAAATTCATTAAAGCATACATTTGTATTTAGAATGTTTACAACTAATGTATATCCGTAATTTTTAAAGGAAACATATTATCTGAGAAGAAAAAATTTTAACTGTGCACTATACATATATATCTTGATGGGTTTAGAAAATATATGAGAAAAAATCTGAGACTGTTTTTGCTTTTATTTTAAAAAAAAGTAGTAAATTATCTTAGTAAAAACTTACTTGAGGACTCAGAATTTTGGAGGAAAAAGGCAATCCCTCTGATATATTTTAACTAATTCTGTGTTTGGGGATGTTTACTGTTGAGAAGGACACAAAATGAAGTTTAGATTCTATGGAGCTGTGAGCTGTACTGTTGGTTGCCTTAAATTTCAAATACTTCAGATGATGACCTTATTTAAGTGTCATGAATAATATAAATAAAATAGGGACTTGGGTTGTCTTTTTGTTTTTCAACTTATTTAGATTTCAGGTTTCCTCAGTTCTCAGCCATATCAGCATACAAGGTCTAAAGTCATAAAGAAAAACCCAGAGGAGAATGCTTTGGCTCACCATGTGTCTTCAGTTGATGCCGAGGGACACTAACTTAACTGAAGGTATTCCAGGCAGATTTGTTTTTCCTCTGCAGTAACGGCGGAAACATGAAGCCGCCACTCTTGGTGTTTATTGTGTATCTGCTGTGGTTGAAAGGTTGTCACTGTGCACCTACTTGGAAGGACAGAAGTGCCACCCGTGAAAACCTGAAGGGTAACGTTTGGTTTCTTTATCTGCGCTGTGTCCTGTCTGCCTGTTTGCGCGTCCCGCCAGCACTTGGGGTGATTTACAGCTGAGAGAGAGCCGTATTCACGATGCCCTCTAGGGTCACGGTGAGATGTTCTCTAGGCGCTTAAACCAAGCAGAGGAGACGCCGAACATCTGGGTAAAAATAGAAAATCCCAGTTGCGTATCTGAGAACGGCTCACATACCCAGATGTTTGCTGTCACACAGATAAAACTTGCCAACTCTCAGACTGCATTTCTTGGTCTCATCCAGATGTTTGGTGTCCTCTAGGCACAGCTTTAATGAGCAGTGAAATTCTTTTCTCGCATTTGAAAAATTTAAACAATTAAAGTAATCCGTGCAGTTATTCTTGAGATAATGAAAGAATGGGTTATAATGACATTGAATCTGGTTGGTCTGTGCTCATTAACTTGTGGCCTTTGCTTGATGATATATGCTTTGGGTGCTTTGACTTAGAAAAATAAATTAGCCTAAATGTTCCTTTTTGGGGGTCTGCAATTACATTTGGAGGCCAAATTAAGCTCCTTCAGCGGCCACATTGGCTATTGCAAAGAAAGACTGACAAACAATAAATTTCATACCCACTAAAAGCTTATGAAAGGGGTATAAGAGGTGTCCAGGAGGTTATTAAAGAATTTTGCATGATTTGATGCCTCCTGGGAAGGTAATTGAAGCTGAAAGAAAGGGAAATTGTTCACTGTGTTTGAGGTTCCCAGTTGGGCATTTAATATAAATTGTCTGTGAAAAAAATTCAATGTTTTCTCTAATATAAACACACTTGGGTTTTAAGGGAAAGGAAAAAAATTGGATAAATGAAAACAGGCCCTGAGGAAAATGATAAGAATGGGGTTAAATGAACTCTGACTTGTCTAGAAGCTCAGAAGTGAGGACCAGAAGGTATCCCCCACGTGGTCGCCGGGTCCACATGGCTGCTGACAGCTGAGTCATTGTGATCTGCCTCGGGAGTCTGATGTTCTAAAAATGAAAAACAATTAAGCCTCTATCTGGGGGACATGAAAAATTGGTGAAGTTGTTGTATTCTGATATATTGTAATCTGATCAGATCTCAAAGGGAAAAACTACAACATAATCTTTTAGGCTTTTCCGAGGCTGGGGAGATAGATGTAGACGAAGAGGTGAAGAAGGCTTTGATTGGCATGAAGCAGATGAGAATCCTGATGGAAAGAAGAGGGGAGGAACATTCCAACCTCATGAGAACCCTGAAGAAATGCAGAGAAGAGAAGCAGGTAAAGCGATGGGCAGTCATGCCTGTTCTTAAACAGATGTGGGCCCCCAGTAGTGCTCACCGAGTGCAGTGAAGGACTTCCTCGTTCTCCCTAACAGTAGATCTTCTGGAGAGCCATCCTTATTGGAGGAAAATCTTGAAGGAAATTTCAGATTTCTTCAAAGGCCTTGTAGACGAGGCCTTTGCAGGACTCCAAACTCGTGAATCTGGGGGATTCAGCTCTGTTTGGGAAGTGCTGCTTTGCTAAAAATGCTTTATCATTGTTCCCCTCTGAGTCAGGATATTGAGTCAAAAGTGTTCAAGGAAGAGGGGAAAGGTATGGGGGAGGATGTAGCTCAGTGGCAGAGTGTGTGCTTACCATGACGAGGTCCTGGGCTCAATCCCCAGTACCTCTATTAAGAATAGATAAATAAAAACCCAATTACCTCCTCCCCTCAAAAAAACAAACAAACAAAAGAATTAAATGAAAATGTGCAAAATCAGGAAAAGGGCTCAAATGAAGAAAAAAATGTGTGGGGAGTTTGGGGCTAGAGCAGTGGCCTCCGAAGTCTCTCGCTCTCCCATCCCTAATACCAAGGTTATTGTTAGCATTCACTCCTGAACACATGCATTTTAGCTTATTTATAAATTACAGCTATGAACTGCTACCATTATTATCTCAAGATGCGAAGTACACTTAGGGTGAGGCTCATCATTAGCTAGGGTGGAAGGAAGTCCATATTTCAAATAATCTTCTAGATACTTTGAAAAAACGTTTTAGCTTATTGCCAGATCTGATTAGATCGTCATGTTTTTACTGACACAAGCCAACAGAGGGCTCATAGCGACAAAGCGGAGGGCTGCCATTTGCTTCCTGTCTCCCTGAACTGAAGTTATTTGTATTTTTTAATCTGCTGGGGGGTTTTTCCCCCCAAGCATCTTTTAAAGCCACTTGTCCATTTAGTGAGGGTTGGCTTCATCAAAAGTACTTAATAAAAACCATCACTTACTTGAGTCCTCTTAAATGGTAATTCATTGCAACTGGCTCCATGTGGACAAAGAGAGAGGCCACCAGTGTCAGCGCCTCTGAGCTGTGCAGGGTCCCTCTTCCCCAGGGTGCTCACGCACAGCTGGTCCCGTGTGATGCCTGACACCAGCACCCCAGGAGAGCACCGGAGCACGGGAAACAGGGCATCAGCCTCATCAATTGTTTTCATTC